TTCTCTCTCTCTCTCCTCCTCTCTCTCTCTCTCTCTCTCTCTCCTTATCTATTGTAAATTAAAATTAGAATTATTTTATAATGATAAAGAAATTACACTACATTATTTTCAGTTATATTTTAGTATACAAAATAAGAGAAAGAAATGTTATTTAAAAATATAACTGAAAAAAACAATTCATTTTTACATTGATCATAACTTTGGCTAACTTTTTTCCATCCTCAATCTATTAGCATAAATTAAAAAAGACAATTTAAAATTTAAAATATTTTTTAAATTCACAAAATTAACCCTTCAAAATAATGCTCATTGAGAAAGAAGGAAAAAGAAAAAAAACGATAAAAAGAAACCAGAAATGGATAACTTAAAAAATATTATCCGGAATAAATAAGAAAAAATTACAAAATAAAGAAATGATATAAAAAAAAGAGGAAAAAAAAATGGTAAAAATCAAGTTGGAAAATAATTTTATAATTATTAAATTTAAATCAAATATTCTAGTTTTATTCGAATATTGTAGAAACTAAAAAAAAAAAAAAAATAGGTAAAATTTCACCGAAACGATAATATTACAGGAAACATTTTTGTTCTATTAAATGTTAAACGTTGATGAGAAAAATGACTTGAATACAAAGAATTCGTAATTTAGAAAAAAGGAACACTTCAAACGAATATTGTTTCTTCCTTTACCTTTTCGAGACACAAAAATACGTCCCCTTTTTATAAAGAACAGAGATCAAAGAAGATGTATTAACGTCATTTTGTGAATTTTTACCCTTTTAAACATTTTTTTCATTTAACAAAAAAAAAAAAGAACTCTCCTTCTATATTGTTATCTCAAAATGTTAAAAAAAAAAGAAAAGAAAAAGAAACAGATAAAAGATAAGAATGGATTAGTGATAACTCTAATAAACAAACATTTCAGAGGTATATAAGAACAGAAGATTAGGAAGAATATAAATAATTAAGTATTTATAATTGTTAATTAAAATTTAAATTTACTGATACCGCATATTTAATGTATATACATTGATATTGTTTCTTTCATCAATATTTTCTATTCTTTACATATTTCTCAGAATTTTTCTCAATCATTCAAATTTAATCAATTGTAAAATGCAACTCATTTGCATTATTTGCTCATTCTTCTGACTGAAACTTCATCATTAAAATTAAAATTTATAATTCAATAATAGATTACTGAAAATTGAGAAATATTACAATCGTTATATTCCCATTTGCATGCACTTTTAGAGGTTATTTCTTTCTAATGCAAACATGGTAAAACTATGAATTTCATGGGGGTAAAATTTTTTACAACACTTTTTACTTCGTGAGGAAAGAGAAGGACAATCTGTGTCATCAAAATGTCATGTGTTATTTCGCTCTTGATTTCTTCCTTGTTGCTCTCGACTTCCTTCTTCATAATTCCGTTTAAAGAGCACATAAATTAGGTCAGATTTGGGAAAACTGTAATTAATTCCCGAGAAATTGCCACTAGCGACCAAAATTGCCCGAAGAACTCATACTGCATTCATAACAATAAATCATATAATCTTTTTGAACGGCATTCCGAAGCCCTTATTCGTTAGTATGAACGACTTATCTTTCCCTAAAATAATCCTCTTATTGACCAGTTTTCGTCTTCCAAACTTTTATGTAACAATTAACTGAGATGTTACCATCTTGATTTTATAACAGCATTGTAGAGACACAAAAATGTTGAGACATTCTCAACTCAGCACGATCAGTACAAATTTTCAACACTGTTTTGTGCTAGGAACAATTTCCCAATGTTTGACATCAGATATTTTGCCAAAGAATTTTGTGAAAAATCAATCTTATGTAGTGAAATTTTTAACAATGAAAATTTTTTTTTGAAGTTAGAGCTAAAATCAAGATGCAGCACAAACTATTTATTCTTAACTGAACTCTGACCCTTTGACGACCAAGATGATTGACATTTCAATTTAATTCAACGAAAAATTTCGATGCTCTCTGCTGTAATCAAGGACTTTTACGATGACACTGTTGAGAATAAAACATGTTTGTCGAGTAAGCTATTGTAGCTGAAACAATCAAGACAGTGATCACAGGAGGTTTGAAAAACTGACTTTCACAAATACGAGAAAACACAGTAGCTAATTAACCTAACAGTACTTGCAATCTAACAAACAGAGGCCTTAATTACCCAACAAGGATGAGTAGCCTTTCATTACAGCATCATAAAATGAGTGTGATAAAAAAGTCATTTGATATCTATGAGGAAGACAGAATTCGCAGATAATCATTAAGTAGAATGACTTTTTTCAATTGTGATAAATACTATGAGACAACGGATTGAGCTTGGCAGCTTGACTGACTTTCCTCCTATCCCCAAAACTTCGTAATTCTAGTGATGTCTCATTAAGTTTAACATCAATCTGCTGTATCATATATATTGCCAAACTATAAGAGCAAAGACAATCTAATTCAAAAAATTTTTTTCTCCAACAGTTCGCAAAGTAGAGCCCTACTTTTGGTTATAATTGATATGCTCAAAAAAAGAGTGAAAAGTAGTATAGACCATAAACCATTGTTAGAAATTTGATCCAAAACTGCAATGGTTGTTGTAATTTCATTAAGGAGACCAATAGATGTGAGATGAAATGACAGAGATACTGATTATATGACTGTATGATTATGAATTCAAACGATAATAAAGAAGGAAGCAACTGGAGTCATGAAAAGGTCAGCTCATATGGGACAGCTGGCCGAACAGTGAAATGAACTGTACTGAAGCATTGTGGGATAACAATTCTAGTTCGCATTCATAATATCGATATTAGTAGAACGTTACTGATTACTTCATGTCTGCGTCCTCATCGTCTATTTTTGGAGCCAGATAAAAGCGCAAGTGTCCGTTTTCACTAAGTTCATACTCTACTACCACAGGTACACTATTGCATAAAGAAAGACGAACCTGAAATGTCAATTGCCTTACAAGATCATCTTAACAGTGATATATGAAACAGGAAAACAACAAAATTTATGAAACGAAAAAACTTACTCGGTCAGAAAGTCCTGTAGCCTTCGTGAAATGATTCATGTATTTGATGGAAAAATTAACTGTAACAGGCTCCTTTACGTTCACTGATACAGCCTGCAACAAAAAGGCGCATTGATGATAGGAAGAAAAAACTGTCGTCAATTTAAACTATCTCAGTGATATATCAAAACAAAAAAATAACGAAAACGTCGATAAGAAAGGTACCTGTTCCTCTTCGTCGGCATTTTTTGAAGGAGCATAAGTAACTGTAGATGAGCCGGTATCACCCTTACCGGTGAAGACAATACCTGCCTTGGTTACTGTTATCATCAGGGAGTCAGAGAACATAGCCAAGTCACGGCAAGTTTTCTAGAATAAAATAACTCTGGATAGTATATGATACATCGAATAATATATGTGAACGTTAAACTATAAACTGGATTTCTCAAAGATACCTGGAATTCAGCAGCTGGCATACAAACAACAGCAGAATAATCCTGTTCCGGGATGCCAAGATGCTCACTATCAATATCCATCATTTTAACGACCACTTCCTGACTTTTATCCTATAAATGCTAAGGTAAATAGATATGCTTGATTCGATACGAAGAAAATGTATTAGTCACAAAAATATGTGGAAATATATATATGTATATATATATATATATATAAATATATAAATACCCGTTTCGTATCCTCGAAGAGGAATAGCACCGAATCATCGTTTTCTTCATATCGAATCAAGCATGTATCTTCGTTATTTGCACATTTTAGCGCTCTTGCCATACCTGCTAAGCTAAGACCAAGGTTAATGGTTCGATCACAACGATAGCTTTCGAACATTGCAACATCCATTTTCAATGACACCAATGCAACATGCGATGAATCCATTGCCTAAAAATAACATACTGACAATGAGAATGTAGGATAAAATTTTTACTATAATCGCATACATGAACTTTTTTTCACTAACCTGTAAGCACATAGCAGTCTCACTGCAATCAAAGGGTGCATCTGTGACAAGATCTTTGATAGCATCTACAATTCTCTTCAGTGTCGAAGCACTACCAAGCTTTGCTTCGAACATTGTTCTTGGAAGAATTGATAAACCTCACTGCAATATATCAATTTATTCATTCAATTATGCAGAATGATTATAACAATTTGTCCAATTCAAAATAAAATATTACAGATAACTAACCCAATTCAAAATAAATGATTACAGATAACTTACCTAATTTAAGATAAAGCTTTGTAGATAATTTACTCAACCCAAATCTATCCTACCTATTCCAGCAATGGATTAACATTCATTCATATTTTATTGAAAATTGCCGCCTGCAGAATAGCGCGCAAATTTACTGGGAATGTCGCACCGAGATCAATGATATTTTATTGCAGCGATATTGCAATAATATTCATTACGCTCTACCGCCAATAGGAGTTGGTAGCAAATTTTTCGATGATGGGCGGGGCATATTACCGGTAAATTGCTGGATAATTTCTTCAGTTACTCCCAACTTTTAGAACTTTCTTTGTAAGATAATGTAGGACGGAAGTATGGCTTCGTTTATGTGGTAACATTGCAATGATGTATTGGTCAATTTTATCGCTTCAAATAAATGATGATCAGTTTATTTCAAATCAGTAATCAGTCATGACCATTTCAATGTTAAATCCAATTCAGTGGTATAAGAATAATCCACCAGAATGCGTCATTTGAAACACACACATATATCAGACAATATTTCTCGTTAAGGAAATCTAATTAACAGACTTAAAATCATATAAATAATTCATATTAAAATAGGATATTAGGAGGTAGTAAATCGATTCTCTCTACCACATCATTACAGTAGTACTGAACCTTTCGGAACCACACTACAGTTTTGTTGTCAAGTTTGCCAAAGTTCATAAGAATAACAAGGGACAGGAAATGGCAAGTTCCAGTAATCTTATTCCAGTTCGACCTTTTGCAAGACCATAATGAATATTCTCCGAATAGTTTCATACTGGTTGAACTACATCATAACTGATCTGTGTTCATCAACTTGCCGAAGTGTAATATTTACGCGATTCTTATTTGCATATTTCACTATCTCTTCAGGTTGATCTTTATCCTCGAATTGTTTGTCCTGTAGAATCCGTGGGACTGCATGGTATATGAGCCGTTGTGACCCATAAACGATCAGAACATCACCTGACCGTATGTAGAACGCATCAACTGGATCATCTAAATCATTACCACCAGCCAGGTAAATTGCGGTCTGGCCGAAACTTAGTGAAATAAGCGGTGAGACGAGCTTTCTTTCCGATCTGAAATATATACTCGGAAATTATGAAAAGGCTAGGAGATGTCATAGAAACAAACATACGTTTTTCACAAAAACTAACTTCATGTGACAATACGAGTGAAAAATCAAAAAATCAGTAGACACTCTTTTTGTGATCCGAACTGATAATTTGATCTGCTTGGAGAGAAGTTCTTCAATAAATAACCTGTCAACGTGTGGTGCCAGTGTTGACTTTCTCGAATAGAAGTTGATGATAGCAGCATCAGCATACATTGGTCCTATGCCAAGCGCTTGAGAGAGAACATCCGAAAGCAACACTAGCTCTTCAGGAAGTGATTCACCTTAACATACTAATTCTAGCTTTAACAAAGTAAATCTACCAACACTACATTCCTTTTAAGCCAAACAACCTTGCATTCCTTCAGTTTTTCAGATCCAAGGGTAGGGAAAAATGCTTACCCTCAAAAGGATAAGTCTTCGTTGCCCAATCATAGTGTAGACCAAGAGTAGACCAGCGTAATTGTCTCCTATATTCTTTGAATACCTGTAACAAACGAATACTGTCAACCTTAGCGAATGGATCCTTCTGTACCAATAATAAATTTATTGGCCAAATATATTTAATGTATCTAAGTATCCAATCAGAAACTGTCGACCTTCCAAATGTAATTTCACAATGGTTGAAATCCAGTGTATATGAAAAACTTTCCGTGATAACCTGGGAATATAAATGGCAGGCCTGACTCTAAATGTCATTTGAAAATATCAGTTCCTCGCACCATTAAGATTGGTGATATCAGCTCATTTAAAAAGAGCTTGATACTAACATTTATAAATTCAAATATTTGAACTTACATTTTGTACATTGGGCACATGTAGGCCGACGTTGGTGAAACCAGGCGGTTCAGCGTAAACGAACAATGAACGTTTTATCCATTGAAGATGGCTGACCGATTTAAAAATGTCATTTAACATTATCATACCTTGCCGATGAATAATAGTTGAAGCAGTCCACTCGGATAATGGACGAAGTCCAAGCTTTTCCAACATTAAATCCGACGGTGCAACAACTGGTTTGAAATTTGAGCAAATTATTCCATGAGCAGATGAGGAGCATCGCAAATTAAGAACTTTAGAGAAATTAGGTGCTATGTCATGCCGTTTGTAAAACTTGAATGTTCGTTTAAATAAGGAATCAGAAGGTGACTGATCACGATAACCGCCATCGTTATCGATATCTGTTGGATACTTGTTAATTTGACTTGTTAACAGCCTGTCGGATACGTTCATCATGTTTCGTTTTATAGTAACGTAACAGTTCACTCTTTCGCAAATCCAGTTCGTCCTGAAAACCCTGCAAATGGAAATGAAGTTAAGTAGGCCAACTACTGTAATGACTCTTTGTTTTAATTCATTTTTTCAATTTTTGCACAATCAAAAATTCTTAAGATAGCATTGCATAAATTATACGTGCTAACCTGAAGCGGTTTATAGACGGTTGCAACACCATATGCTCCAATTGCTAAACCAACAATAGCAATAACAATCTTCGCAGCTGCTTGTTTTGGTGTTAATCGAAGTTGCCAACCTACCATGTCACGAACTACCCTTAGAAATTTACAAAGGTAATATGATGTGTCTACCATTTTCTTAAAAGTTTGATAACATTTATCGTAATCATGCTCATTATCAATCCACCATCAAATTTCATTACTAGGTTGCAATTTTTCCTGTTCTGTTCATTTAAAAGGTCAATAGGTCAGGACTAAAAAAAGTCAGTAATACTACAGAACAATGTGTCACCAACTATTAAGACACAAATTTAGTAATTTATAATTCTGCTTGTAACTGCTGTTTATGGTTATTGCTCCCTATAATTTTAGATTTAACTCTGTAAATCCCATCTTTCAATCGTTTCCAGTGATACAGCGGAGTGCTGCTCCGTTTTGCTTTGCCATGTGTTATGATTCAAACCAATTTCAGGAAAAAATTTAAAGTATCATAAAATATCATAAAGTATTTTAAAATATATATTTAAAATATCGTAAAATATCATATTAAAATATCATTGTTTATTTGATGCAAAAACTCTACACTAATCATGTTAGCTTTGGACAGTACTGGTAGCCCACAACGGCGGCTTTTAGATATAAGATACAATATTGAATTTTTGCTTCCAATTTACATTGATAACGTTTATCAGTTTAAATCATTTAGTCTTCGAGGCTAGCATATGAAAATGTGAGAATATCATTTGAAGCTAGAGTTGAGTCTTTTAGAATACATAACAGTTAGTCGAAGTTGTTCCCAGAACAACGAATATACAAAATTTATAAAACTTAAAGTTTTAGAAAATGGGCATTTTTGATGATGGAACAGAAAGGTTAAAGGAGGTTTCCTTAAATTAGAAAAAGTCTAAAACTGACGAAGTAAAAATAGGTCAGTGTAACACAGAGAGAAGGAAACAAACAAGCTAAAGAAGAATCCACATCAGAATCAATTTGAACACATATCATATAAAACCCAAGCAGAAGGAAGTAGATGTTGTTTAAAATACCGCATTCCTTTAATAACTGACTTCTTTTTCAAAAAAGTCATTGATTCTACATCAATCACAAAAAACTATATTTCTACTTGTATATATACGGTCAACACCACAACTTTTTTTCAACAACCGTGAATACTGAGCTTAATAATCAAAACAAACAAATCTGAAGGACGAAGCAATTCAGTGATCAATAGTATCACTGGTACCAGGCAAATTGAAAATTGTTTGCGGCCAAGAGAGAGCAGCGTCATCCGTAGCAGGCGTTTCATTTTCTCTATTTTCTAATTTCTCATCAACTTGCTGTAAAGATATTATGTCATACACAGTGTCTGACTTAGAAAGGAAATTCTCTGAAGTTAAACAACTATCAATGAAACTAAGCCAAATAAGCAAAACTGAACATATCAAATGCAAATTTGAAATCAAAATTTGAGAAATCAGCAATGTATATTACCAAGTTCCGATGATCTCCGACCAAAAATTTGGCTCGAACTTTCTTCATTGTAAGCATCCCTTTCACTAAACGTCTCCAATTTTTCAAAGCCCTTTCCTGTTGTCTCTGGAAGAAGTCAGTCTTGTTTAAAAAGGAACAAAATTCTTTGAATTTAATGAACAAACACTATTATTTCACCTTCTCAGCAGCAACTTGCTTTTTCTCGTAAAATTCTCTCCATGCTTCACGCAACACGTCTTCATGCTTTTTCAAAACGACGCAACCGTCAAGACTGTAAAAATCATATTTTATTTTATACTAGCATAATTCAAATTCGGAAAAATTGATCACGCAAAAGAATGCAATTTACATCAATTCAACACTAACATAGGGTGATTTCCCCCTTTATGAAATTCCCAACCAACTACTGCAGGTACGCAGTCAATATCGAGCTGCCGACAAATAGCAGCTAGTCCATTTAGTCGTAAATGAACACAATCTTCTGGTACCATGCTGCTTTTGTAAACATATAAATTACCAAATTCATTTCGTGGTATACGTCCCTGAAATATAATCTTTCAGCTTAACAAACTGCGAGAAACAGCAAATAGTAAACTTACT